ACAGGATGCTGCAGAGTGGGGGCTGCCTGCCAGCTAGCCCTGCCCTGAGGCACCCTGTGCCCCAGTCAGCCCTTCTTGCAGCAAACTTCATGAGCAGGAGCATGCATTGCAGCATAAAAGTAGCAGCACACATTTGTGCCACTACTATTTCTGCTCCTGCAAATGCACACCCCTGCTCACATGGATGTGGCCAGGCAGTGCATCAAGGGCAGTGTGAGGTATAATACAGCTTGAATTCCCCTGCCTGGCAGTTTCCTGTTATAACCACTCTGCTCCAGATCCCTTTTTGTGCAAACTTGCACAAGAAACAGGAACCAATATTTCTTACAAGCAAATTTCCAAAATGGGATAGAACAATCTCTTGCTGCCAGTTCTCCAAACCAGAAACATAGGCCCAGACAGAGCACTACAATCATTATCCCTCCACACTGAATACTTGCTCTTGAACATATTTTTACTTTTATTAGGTAGAGTGTATATCTTCTGTAGCAGGATGAAATCCGCTTTGGGTGAGATTTGACTGTTATAAATACCAATAAGCACAAGGTGTTTTATTTTAGGTGCTAGGTAGCTGGAATATGAGCTGAGGTTTGTTCCAATTTTTAACAGCTTGCAACAAGAATTGAAATAACTTAGCAGGTAAACTACACCTGATGTTAATTTAACACAGATGTTCTGTTCTTAAAGGGCTTTTCCACGTAATAAATATACATTATACTTGCAACAATGCATCACAATAAAATTTCAGTGAGTTTCTGAATATAGGATTCAGATGCACCCAACTCCACGCGTTCTGTATCTTGAACTCAAGGAGAAATTTTACATGCAAGTAGCAGTATAGAGTCTATATGAGAGTCGTGGGCAGACAAGGTTCTTTGGGTCAATCCAATATCTTTTATTAGATCAACTCAAGTAGTTGGAAAAATTCTTCTTTGCAAGCTTTTGGGTAACAAACACCTTTTGTCAGGCAGAGGAAGTATCTGCAGTCAGCCTGTGCTCTTCCTGGCTGACAGTCATGTTCATTTTTATTCTATCCAGCAGATGGTAGTAATATACAAAGAACTGATGACAGAATGGGCTATAATATCCTGCCATTTTTATTTTAGTCAGATATCAGTGGAAAGCTGCAGCTGCTTCGGTGCTGCTGTTTCATGCTTACCTCAGTTAAGGTATCTTCAATTCCTTTATGCTTCCAAGCAACGATATGTAACAACCTCAATGCTATGTCGTGTCTCATTATTCTTTGCAATCATTCACAAGTTGCTAAATGTAGGACTTAGAAGTGTGCAGAGTTCCACAGGAGGAGCAGAATGTACCTCCATCAAGTGCCACAGAGCAGCTCAGATGGTGTGTCTAGAAGTGGAACTTCATTTTTGAGATGAAGGAATCATGCCCCACTACTCCCTTTAACTTTGTGCCTGTCACAACTCTCAACAGAAAACATTGCAGGTGTGTCAGCTACCTTCTGAAGACTTCAAACCTACTCTTCTGAAAAAGACTAGGCTCTTCCTGAATCACAGCTTCAATCCAACTGATGGCAGATTGAGAGCAACTCAAAGAACAAGGTTGTCAACCTATTTTACTTATTCCTTTTTTGGATAAAATTAACTGGTTGCATGTACCACCTTCTTTGATCAAGCTGACAGACTGCATTATCTGACAGACTTCATTGTGAGACCACACGAGGCAGAAACAGGGAAATGCAGCCCCTTCTCGATCACACAGTAGCATCTTGCTGAGCCACACTTCCACAGCGCTTTAGTGGTTATTAGACTTTCCTTGTGTGATTATCTCCTGTGGCTTTTGGACAATTGCATTGCTCATGTCTGCTGTAGCATGTTGTAAATATGCCTCCAATATTTGCCTTCAAATCTCATCCTCACCCTTAGCATCCCAGCATAGTGGGAGAGAAGGGGAGCCCTATAAATCTAGCTTGCAGCAGTCGTCATCAGGTCACGCAGGGAAGTAAAACTCCATGGCTTTTAAGACTTGTGTGCCAGGGAGAATACCATGAGCACTAAGGCAGTTTTCCCAGTTGCAGGGGAAAACTACTTTCTTGGCATGGGCTAGTACCTTGACCAAGGTAAGGCAGTCTTCCACTTTCTCTTCTAGCAGGAAGAACTTGGCTTCATGGCTGAGGGCAAGCAAAACCCGGGGGCATCTGAACCCCAAGCCTCTGGGCTTGGGCCTGCAAGTAGGATGCCTGCTGAAGGATTTGGAAGCATCTGAAGCCCCAGGCGGGGCTGGAGGATATTTGCCAGTAGTAGGGCCACATATGGTTCTTGAATGACTCATGGATTTGGCTTGGAACACAAAACATTTTCCATAGAAAAACCCCAAAAAACAAAAACTTGTGTTACTCTCATTTCTTTACTCAGCACACAGGGGCCAGAGTGGGAACAAAGATCTCTTCTCAGGATACCAATGACTGAAAATTAGAAAAGCCTGTTTATCAACCCATCTAACTCTCTTTTCCTGTGTGAAAGGTATCTGGTAAACCATCTTTCTATTTGCTTCTATTGAAGTGAGGGGTAAAAGAGGGATTTTTGCCTTCCTCTGAAGCAGTGGACACACGCTACAATTATAGGTGGGAATTTTGCCTGGGGTACACTTGTTTTAGTGCCGTAACTCAAAAAGCTCTTAGTTCTTGGCCTCCCTCTTGCTCAGTGTCAAAGCTGGTTTTTACCTTGGGTCAGACTGGCCAAGAATGAAAGCAAAGCCAGCATGAATCAGTCAATGGAACCAGTACCACATTCTGCCTCTCTTTCCATGGAATGCACTCAGTTCTGCTACCTCATTTCATTTGTTTTTTTGTACAAGAACAAATAGAACTGTATAAACTCAATAGCTAGGCTTTCATTATTTATTCTTGACTTGTACTTGCAGTATTTTTGTACATGTAACATTCATTGTACTTCTGAGTATGCATGTGTTACAAAGAGTAAAGATTGTAGATGATGCTTTCATTATCCTTTAATTTGCATGGAGAAATGACCTGGGTATTTCATGCAACAAGTATAAAAACCTGAGATGCACCGATATATTGGCATATCAGACTGGCACCAATAAAAGGGGAATTTACATTATCAGCTGTTAGCTTTTTTTGGCTCATGTAGCCATTAATGTTCAGCAATAAATAGAATTAATTATACCTTCTGGTTGGGGCCCCCAGATGCCACGTGCATGTGCGCAGCTCGCATGCACATGACCAGGAATGCAGACAGGCAGCAGGAACACCAGCTCACTGCAGGTAAGTCTTTGGAGGGAAAGGGATGTGGGGGAGGGAAGGGGTGTTAAAGGGGCACATCAAGGACTCCATGGTGAGGGAGGGAGTGAGGCAGGGTCAGGGGGCACTGGTCATCCAGGGCAGTAAATGGGGCCTGAGGCTGGTGTGGAGAGCAGAATGGAGCCGTGGGCAGTGAGGGGACTCCCGGGACAAAAACAGCAGAGCAGAAAGCCCTGAGCCCACAGTGCACAGCATGCATCCACCTTCATCCTGCTCAGCTCCGCTTCTCTTAAAAAATGGTGAAAATGACGCTCATTTGACGAGCTTTTGTTCAAGTGCCCCCAGCGCCATTCTTAAGCACTGGGACACTGATCCCCTGGATGAGTTGCCCAGTAGCTCCAACCTGGTCCCCACCCCAGCCCTAGGCCCCATTCACTGCCCTGACTGGGCAGCACCCCCCGCCCCTGCCCCACTCCTTCCCTCACCATGGGGGCTTCGATCTGCACCCCTCCCCGTACCCTTCCACAGACTTACCTGCAGGGAGGTGCTATCCACAATGCCCAGCTGCATTCCGGCAAATCAGTTATTGGATCAGTATTGGCTGGTTAATAATCAGCTATCAGTATCATCCAAGAAAATATTCATCTGTGCACCCTAGTAAAAACATGTTTATAATTTGGTAGGTACCATGGTTCTTCATATGCACAGTGAGGCCTCTCCCTGTTCCAAATGGGCTGTTGACATTACTGCATTTATTGGACAAACAGACTCCCGACATGAATAGAGTTAATTGCTGCATAATTTAATAACAGTTCTAGTTTAAAATAATGACTGGACATTTGTCTAGATGGTGAATCTGCCCACAGTTGTTGAAAGGGTTTAGATGGAATAGAAAAAGAAATGCTTCTGGACCAACTGCCAACCAAAGTGCTACAAGAAACATTTTCTGAACCAGTTACTCTACAATTGTCTCCTGGCCTGAAGTATTCTATGGAGATACTGTTCCATCTCCCCCCACACCCCACGATGTCTGAGGAGAATTACTGATGTTGTCCTGCTGTCCAATAATGAGGAACTTGGTAAAATGAAAGCATCATCTAAAATCTTTACTCGTTATAACACGTGCATACTCAGAAATACAATGAATGTTACACATTGTATTAAACCTTTTGTGAGACAGGTAAACCTCATTCCCAGCCTAGAGGAGAAAGACAGGTTAAGGCCCCTGCACAAAGGCACACACTAAGGAAATGGTTTAGAATCCAAGCTTCCAGTCCTCCACTACAAATTAAACAATTGTTTGCTGTTAAAATACACCTGCCTATGCACCACTGTGCAGTGTGCTTTAACCATGACCTTGGTTTAGTTGTAGTCTCTACAATGGAGCTTGGCAAGGTTTTGCAACAGAGGCCGTTTTAATAGCCACTTCTAGCTCCGAATGTAGGCTGCTTCCAACCCGGCCCATGCAGCCAGAGCTGGAGACCCCGCTACCCACCATGGTGCCACTGCTTCTCCCAGCTACCCAAGTGAAGCCTCCTACTGCTGAAATGCCATAGAAGACCCTGGGCTCCACAGACTGGATGAAATGGTTCCACAGGCTGGATCTGACCTGCAAGTCATGCTGCTAGCCCTGCTCTACAACATTTTACATTTTCCCTCACGTGGCTGTATTTTGTTACAGTACATGCATGCCTGCAAGCAAACTCTAAAACAAGCAAAGAATGCCTAATTGTTTCCTGTGAGAGCAAGACAAAAACCAAACAATGGAACAAAGTTATAGCTCACAATACATATTTATTATTAGAGATGTTTACAGAAAAGTCTGTGCAGTACTGCTAGTCTAGGACTGATGACTGGGGGATTTATTTTATTTATTTATTTATTATAGTTTATGGCTTTGTTTTTCGAATTCTTTAAAAAGTCACAAAACTGATAAGTTCTGGGGATACTTCAGTCTTATTAAAAAAAGTTGAATTCCGAGATAAGGGATAAGGTGCTTTCACTAGCAGTTTAGTAACTACGGCCAAACAGAGTGTAGAACTTGGCAGGGTTCTTGCCACATACACATTTTGTTCCAGCCTGCAGCTCACAGAGAGGTTTGAAGGGGATGCAGAGACTTTTTGCTCCCATGGATGGAGCACCAGGCTCAAGATCTTGATCCCTAAGAAAGAAAAACAATTTTCTTTAAGCATTTTTAATTCATCTGATTTAATTAATAGAAAAAATAAGTTTCAAGATAGGCTTATTGGGCCATAAAGTTTGAAGCTGATAGAGTAAAGCCTGCTTTGTATTTAGAAGAGTGAAAATTCTACACAAATGGTGTAAAAAAACAAAAAATAATATCAATGTTACTTTAATATTATTTCACATTCAACTACATTTTGCTTTCAGGCAGGTAAGTTCCTTCCAGTTACATTACCTGGCAGTAGTTTTCTTGATCCAGTCCTCACATTCAATCTCCCCACAAAAGGGAATCTGCACAATCTAATGTAAAAGAAAGATGGACAGGTTAGATATTAAAACAGGCAATCTCTTTGTTGAAAAGAAAGACTCCCGAGTCCTGCAGCTGTGATACAGCTAACACCATCTAGTGAGTCCATGGTCAGAAGGCATATTAAACTTAATTCAAAGGATTTTTATAGCCATCCTGTCACGAATATAAAGTTCAACAGTTGTCTCTTAATGATGAAACTAGTAAAGCATTGGTATAAACCCACAGCAGATTTTAAGAGGGTGACTGCTGCCTTCATATACATTGTTTGCATTTACAAGACAGATATTTAAAACAAAAAGAAACTACTATAGATTCACAGATGTTTGGGTCGGAAGGGACCTCAGTACCTCATAGTCTGAACCCTGCCCTGGGCAGGAAAGAGTGTTGGGGTCAGATGACCCCAGCCAGGTGCATGTCTAGCTTCCTCTTAAAGACCCCCAGGATAGGGGAGAGCACCATCTCCCTTGGAAGCCCATTCCAGATTCTGGCAACCCTTACTATGAAGTTCTTCCCAGTGTCTAACTTAAATCTGCTCTCCGTCAGCTTGTGGCTGTTGTTCCTAGTTACTCCAGGGGGTGCCCTGGTAAACACAGCATCTCTTACTCCTTGCTGCCCCTCTCCCTGCTCCCCGCTATTAATTTATAGGCAGCGACATGATCACCGCTCAGGTTTCTCTTGAGGAGGCTGAAGAGATCCAGGTCCCTCACTCTCTCCTCATAGGGCTTTGCTTGCAGGTCCCTAACCATGAGTGGAACCTCCTCTGAACCCTCTCGAGTTGTCCACATCCCTCTTGAAGTATGGGGCCCAAAAATGGATGCAGTATTCCACCTGCAGCCTGACCAATAAGTTTTCTTCTACTCATGGAAATGATCTAGTCCCCTATGTATCTGTTGGACTGCAAAGAGAACACTTTATTATACTGTATAAAGGAACACATTGCCGACTCTTAGTAAAGCTTCCCATTATAAATTCCAGCCATTAGGATTTTCATATTTTCTGAACAAGGCCCACATTTTAACTGTGATTAATGCATTCCCTAAACTATGAGTGTACCTGGGTCTGCAGTTTTTAAACAACTTAAACCTACAGTAAGTATTACAATAGGATGACAATGTAACATCTCAATGTTGTCTGAACACACCACACACAAAAGAAACATCATGCAGAAAACACAGGAAGGTCTTTATGAACAGCTACTGTCATCAGGGAAGCCAAGCTCCCTTTGAAAACAATGTGCACCAGAGAAATACCACTGCAGAACCAGAAGGTGGAGCACATAATATTTTTGTGCAAATTTATCTTTTCAAGGGAGGGTCATCTTGTTTCTTTGGCACAATACCACAACCTTGAATGAGGCTCTGAAGTGCTAGCTGATGAACAGACACAGTTGTTTTTGTTACACAGTTTACAAATCAAGTTAAAAAAAATGCAAAGGCTTGAGTTAGAGAACAATAGGAGGACAGGAGTAAAAAGAATACGAAAATGGCTAAATAAGGTAACTAAGTGCATTTTATAGTGAATGGAATATCATGAGATAATATAAACTCCAACAGGCTCTGTATCTAGTCTTTAGAAAACATTTCATCCACTGTATGCCTAACATTACACAAATCACTTAACCTCTCTTTATGTCTCACTATTCCAGAAGTATTGCACTAAAAACAGGAATTCTAGTTAAATTTCCTCAGTAAATTTTCAAATATACTTATCAATTTATGGGCTAGGTGATAGATTACAGAATTTCAAGTTAAAACATCAAGACAATGGCAGCTCACCAGACATCTCAAGTAAAGAACAATTCGGTTAATTTCTTGAATGATTAAGAATTGCTTTTATGTAGAAGTGCATTATATATCAGTTGCATATCAGATTGGCACTGAAGAAAAGAAAATTAACATTATTGACCATCGGCTATTTTTGGCCGTTGTGGCCAGTGATGTCACTGATACAGGGATGCAGCCCAGCAGTGTGGAGGGTAAGTCAGCGATTGGATTGGTATCAGTCACTATAGATGGCTAATAATCTGCTATCAATATCAGCCAAGAAATCTTTCAGTACATCCCTACTTTATACTCTGACCTACATGTCAGCTGCTCTATCAACACTTCCATTCTTGTTAGAATGCTAAATTTTAGGGAAGTCAACCCTGCTACTTTATCAGTTATTCTGAATATCAAACTTGGGAAACTTTCTGATGCCCAGCAATTCTTAAATGCACTCAATGGCTTCTGCCCATGTCAAAAAAGCAAGTTTTCTTTGACGCAAGTAGGATGTACTTTGGACTCTTACTTGGAAACTCGCTATGATATTTGGTAATTATTTTGCAACTACTTGTGTTGGAAAAATGACAGTAGCTTATCTTAATCTGAATAAGGTATTTGTATTAAGATCTATGGCTACTTCCTGCTGAAAAAGCAGTATACTTATTTAAAATGCTGCAGGCCAGGTAACAGGAATGTCAGATTACCTTATGTAGCCTTATTACCTATGTGAGAATAAATAATATTTTAAATACTAGTAGCTTAGAAAATTGTATTCATCAAAACTGCATTTGAGCATAGGGGATAACAAGCAGCACTGGAGGATTTGAGAAGTTACAATTCTAGCCAAATCTCCACTAAAACATTACACCTGGTGATACAAATAGTTTGATTAAAAACACCAGAGAGCTCCCTTTAAAATAGTAACCCAGCATTTTTTTTAGGCACCAGATACTCAGTTGGCCCCTAAAAATTGTACAGGTTTCCCTCGCTTTATGCTGTACATGCGTTTCTGGAAAATGGCCCGCAACTCAAATTTGCATAAAAGGAACCCACTTTACAATGTAACTAATAGGGATATGTTCCAAAACCTCAACTATACTGACCCCGAGACCCATTTCTACCACTTTTACAAGACAATTTTGGTACTCAGCAACAGCAGACAGTACACACAAGCACAGGGCACTATCATAATGGGGAAGGCAACTACAAAAAAAAAAAACAAAACCACACACGGCGGACAACGAGCGAGGAGCACAGATCCACACAGAAGACTATATTTTGGTGTGTGTCACTTGCGCAATGCACCGCATAAATGAGCTGACTGTGGGCTTCCACCACACCAATTGCATAAAAGTGAATTTACCTTGCATATAATAAATTTTTGGTATAAAAAGGGAGGTCACATAAGAGCAAATTCACACATACGGAACCCACATAAAGTGAGGGAAACCTGTATATTGTTCTAACTATGTCAAAAGACACTTGTATTGAAGTTCAAAAGGGAATTTCTTTACCTTTCCAGAATCAAGTTCTTTCTGAAAGTCATCCATATCGTTAGACACCACCATGTGATTTTTCAGGTCTTCAGATGCTCTAAAAAAATAAATTCAAACAAGTTAAGTAAGTACACTTCTACAACAAGAAGTTACCAATTGAACAAATGTTTCTAAAAGTTGAAGAAGAAAAATTACACAAGGAAAAGGAATTACAAGTACAGTAGATGCCTTAAAAATCAGGATATTTTCTAGTTTACAGTTGTTGCACCTAAAAGACAAACTGAAGACCCCCTCCTCTCCTGGTTGCAGGAGATTCCACCACACTAGCACATAAGCCTAAGGAACAGGGAAGATGCACTGTTTGAACTGCAAGAGGAATGAACATTACCTTCTAGTGCGGGGCAGGCAATTATTTTGGGCAGAGGGCTGCTTACTGAGTTTTGGCAAGCCATCGAGGGCCGCATGACAGGCAGCCCAGGGCAGGTAAATACTAATTTTCTAAATTTTTTAGGGGCCCCGTGGGCCGGATAGAATGGCCTGGTGGGCCGCATCTGGCCCCCGGGCTGCATTTTGCCCACCCCTATTCTAGTGAGTACAGCAAGGGTAGCTGCAAGATGCCCAGACTATAAAGCTACGGTGGAAGCAAAAGCTTTGTTGGTATTTTTTTTTTTCCTTTTCTCTTTTTTTGCTCCCATTTTATCAGTCTCTTCTGGATGGACTGTGCACCCATATCTTTTGCGTTAAACTTCTG